GGGCGCGACACCGAGGGTTGCGATCCCATTGCCGGTCGCGGCATGGGCGCGACACCGAGGGTTGCGATCCCATTGCCGGTCGCGGCATGGGCGCGACACCGAGGGTTGCGATCCCATTGCCGGTCGCGGCATGGGCGCGACACCGAGGGTTGCGATCCCATTGCCGGTCGCGGCATGGGCGCGACACCGAGGGTTGCGATCCCATTGCCGGTCGCGGCATGGGCGCGACACCGAGGGTTGCGATCCCATTGCCGGTCGCGGCATGGGCGCGACACCGAGGGTTGCGATCCCATTGCCGGTCGCGGCATGGGCGCCACACCGAGGGTTGCGATCCCATTGCCGGTCGCAGTATGGGCGCGACACTGAGGGTTGCGATCCCGTTACCAGTCACGAAAAGACAAAAAGGGGGAAAAAAAAAAAGAATGATTGGGAAATGGTGAGGGTTGCGATCCCGTTACCAGTCACGAAAAAAGACAAAAAGGGGGAAAAAAAAAAAAAAAGGATGATTGGGAAATAATGATTGGGAAATGGGATCTGCAGCCAAATAAGTTGGCTAATCTGCCCTATTAGGGTAACAATTCTTCATTATAGCCACAGGCCACCCCACTGCAGAGGAAGAGCCTGCCCCAGTCACCTTCCACATAGACAAGCAAAGAAGATGGGTGCATCCTAAAGATGTCAGTTCAAAGAGAGAGGATTCATGTGCTTGGTCCCTTTCTCAGCTTTACCAGTTAGGCAGGTGAGGGGTAGAGCTGAGTCAAGGGCACTAGTATAGTCTCTCTTGTCTGGAGACATGGGGCCCTCCTGGAGGACCCCCAAATATTTATGGGCATCAGTACAGTGGATAAAGGGCTTTTCTCTTCAAATTGGACAGAGGGACAAATAGCTGAGGTATACTTATGGTTTCTTTACTTTTTTGACACTATGAAAGAGAAATTGTGACTGGGGGGTGGGGTGCTGCCTTCAGAGGAAGGAGCAGTGGGAAATGCTGCAGTGGGACATAGCTAGAGCTGGCTGCACCAAAGGAAGATGAAGGCATTTGTAAATAGAAGAGTAAGAAAGACTGTTGCCCTGTCACCAATGTGGGTTGTTTCCTCCCATCTCTCTTCCTTCTGCCTCTGCAATTCCTACCAATGAAGAAAATTATTGGAGGTTTTCATTTTGAATCTCTTGACCAAACACAAAACAAGCTTGAGATGAATAGTTATCAGTATCAATTCGTAACCACACAGCCCATGAGAAAGACGCTCCTTGACCAAACTTCAGTCAGACTCCTCTCTTCTCAACTAGGCCTCAACCTTTGGATTTATATTTCCATCTTTGCACCACCCAATTTTAGCAAAATTCCTGCTAAGTCAGTTTAATAGGAATCCCCACCCTGATGTCTAATCAAATTCCTCATTCCCCATCCTTGATATCTCATCACCTGACCTGACTTCAGCAAGGACCCTGCAAACTCTTTAGCTAGAATCTCCCCGTACTGTGACGGTTCCTCTTACTAATCTACAATCTATTGACCCCATCCTGCTCCTGGGCTATAAACCCCACTTTGTCCATGCTGTATTCATAATTGAGCCCAGTTCTATACTGAGGTCTCTTTTCCCCTATTCCAACAGTTCCTGAATAAAATGTTTTTACCACTTTAACCATTGGTCAGCTTTGGTTTTCTTCAATACCCACCCCTACTCTCAATATTAAATAAGACCAATATTTTTGAAATAGCAATTACTAAATCCCAAATGGGAGAGATTACTGACTGCATTTTAAGCATCAAATATTTGTTTAACATTTACACCCCATGCTACAGGCAGCACAGCATACAAAGAAAGACAATATTTCCCTGGCCTCAAGGGACATTTGACATGGGTAATAAAACAAGAGAACCAATTGATCAATATTTATTACAAAGTATTTTACATGGCAAATAAAATAACCTTAAGGATTTTTTTTTTCTATTTTAAATTAATATATTTGCCTGCTTTACCTTGAGGTACTATCGTGATGGAATAATAGACACTGAAGTAGAGTTCAACGCCATCAGTGACCTCACAGCTTCTGAACTGCTTAAACAGCACAATAACAACCAGGGAGCAGGCCAACACCGTGAAGGGACAGTCACAGAAGCAACAAGTCCAACATGGGCTTCTGAGGAAATGCAACAGGACCACCAGTGAAATGAAAGAGCAGCGTCCCAAGACTCAGCCCCGCCTCAAGGGCAGCAGAGTCCAGCTCCACACAAGCATCTCGAGCAGCTCACCCCGACCCACCAAGGCCGGCAAGCGTGCATTCACTGGCTCTCAACCAGATGCCTCCTGCTGGGTCTCATTTCTCGTGTCCTCCACGCCACCTTCCGAGGGCTTTCCCTAAATTGGAAACTTGACCAAGCCACTCCCCAGCACTTCTGCACTACCTAATAGGTTCCCCGAAGGAAGTCAGACTTGCCTCTCCAGGACTCCCTCCCCTCCCTAAATTGGAAACTTGACCAAGCCACTCCCCAGCACTTCTGCACTACCTAATAGGTTCCCTGAAGGAAGTCAGACTTGCCTCTCCAGGACTCCCTCCCCCGACTCCAAACCCTGGCAATGCTACTTGCAGGGTGCTCTTGAGGCTGCCTCTCACTTCCATTCCTTTGCTCATACAGCCCTCTGCCAGGAAAGCCAACCAACCTTCACCCAGCTAACCTATTCTTCAAGATTTGGTCTTCCCTGAATCTTTCTCCAGGTCCACAGGTACATCTCTCTTCTATTGGATCTACATTATGAGGACAGTGTCTACATCTTATTCATTTTTAGAATTCCCAGCAACTAGTATAGTCAGCAACTAGTGAAAATTTATGGGGGAAAATGAATTTCTTTAAAGCAGAGAAGAGGGTTCAAGGCAGTATTTTGTAGTGGTTCAGAGCACGGGTGGGGTTTAAACTCTGGTTCTGATCTTTACTGTCTAGATGACTTCAAAAAAGATTTTCCAGTACCCAATGAAAGCTGGCCTGGTAATACCCATCTCACAGGGCCGTTGGGGAGAGTAATTAAAATCAGGCATATAAAGCATTTAGCTCAGTGCAACCAAGGTTATTTCTTTCCTCACCCCCACTGCATAGTTCCCAACCCCAAATATCATCCCCAACACAGCTCGTAACAAGCTAATGATGTTTACCCAACATATTTAATTGTAAAAATAAAGATAAAGGTCAACTTTTCATAAAAACCAAACTTTGGTCTCATCCTGGAGGTGCCGCGCTGCTCCCTCCTTTTACTTCTGCAGACGGCAGCGTTTCTGGATTTCCTCTGCAAGCCCCAGGCAGTGCAGGATGCGTTTCTTCTCAGCGGCCAGTTCCTCCTCAGAGAACTGGCCCAAGAGTTTCTGGACAAATATATTTTGATCTTTCAAGAAAATGTTCTTATTGACTCCTACATTTGGCACATTCTCCAGGGACCCAGATTTGAAATGGAAGCTTAAATATCTGTTTCGTTTCATACCAGGCCCTTTCTCCTCAATCCATGACAGCGGGCTGCAAGGACAAAGAAAGCAGCGTTAGAGGTTGCGTGGGCACAGATGGGTGTCTGCTGGCACCCAGCCACCTTGTAGCAGGTCATTCTGCACCCATCTTCCCTGTGACTGTCGCTCAGTGTGGTGACTCAGGTGGCATCCCAAAGCCTCCCAAAGGCCATGGGTGGTGACTGTGTTCCAACTTTTCTGCCAATAGTCCTTTATTTAATTTGCTACCAGGCAGGAGAATTCATTCAATAACTTGTGTGAACACTAGTTATTAAGACTTTTTACCCAGAGTCTCATGAATCCCTCTAGGGGGTCAGATATGGACTACAGGTAATCGATGAGCCTGAGACTGTGTGAAAACTCTTGTTTTGTTTATGCGCACATTTTTAGTCCTTTCATCAGATTCTTGAGGAAGTCTCTTAACCCAAACACATGCCAGAAAATATCGACTATGGATTAACAAGACACCTCTGTCTATTTCAAATTCCCTCCTCATGTCAGCACTCATAAAAATCTAAACTCCAAACAGGATAGACTCCACTTCTGCAAAGTTTCTTCTTTCTCAAAGGGTTAATCGTTCCTCTCTTTACAACAGGTAAGAGCTGTGATGGAAAACAGAGAAACGTTCTCCTAAATACACTTTGACCTAAAGTAAGAAGCTTTACATACACACAGCATGTAAACCATAAAGCCATAAACAACTCTTGATTGTGCTTTTGCTTCTTTTAAAATATTTTTATGATCCTATAAATTCTATTGTGATTATTTTTGTCTCTATATCATGTACAAGGGATAATAGTTTATTTAACATTTTATTGTTGCCAAATATTTAAGCTTTTTTCAATTTTTAAATTAATATACGCATCCTGCATTCAACATCTTCACATACATATACATATTTTTCTCTCCTTCTTAGAGCAAAGTCCCAGGAGTAAGATGACCTGGTGTTGGCCTCTGGCTACTTCTCTTTGCTTCCCCTCACTTTTCTTTTCTTACAGGGATGAGCCAGGGACAAGGACAAGGCAGTTTTGCTGGCCTGTTGTGCTAAGTGATGGGACTTTCAGTGTGAGTAGGGATGGTGTTAAATCCTGAGCACACATCAGAGCATTCATAGGATTTCCTCTCCTCTCTCACTTGGCTGCAGTAGATCAGGCCTAGGGTGAGCAGGTTAAATCAGCAATGATAAAGGATGAGGGGGAGCCACCTTCATCCTCTTTTGTTATCTGCTTCTAGAGTGGTGGTTCATAATAAGGCTTAAGATTGGGTGTGGTATTGCAGGAAAGGACACAAGGTGTTGTAGGAAGCTCAGGGCTGCCTCCAACCTGAGTAAAGAAGTCCTCTCCCTGGACTAACCCAGCTTACCAAGGCCAACGCTGGAGTGTGGGGCGAATGTTTGAGAGGAAAAGATGTAGAGGACATTAAGGGGGAGCCAAACCATACCCGTCCATACATGCAACAACATCAGGAGTGATGTTTACAGAATAACTTCCTCGTTTTGCAGCCCTGTCTGCTAAAAACTTGGAAAGTCACGCTGTTTCCTAATGTTGGGTTTAAGTGAGGACATCAGCAGTTGGCACTCTCCTGCCAACTGGGTGGAGTAAAGCTGAAGATAGTACCTGGTCCCCTAATGTTCTGGACTTGGACAGCACTCAGCTCCAGACATTCCAACAAAAACGCAAGGCTGAGTTCACAGACAGCTCCCCTGCATCTCCTCTCTGTGAAAACTTTCATTTGAAATGTTTGCTTTCACCACCCTGGGCACTGACTACCTGCAAAAGTGCTACTTGCTTCTCACCTTCTACAGGAAGTTGTCCAACTACAGTCATGCACCTGGTGCCAGTGTCTGCAAGCATGATAGAGCTGCTGATTTTCTAACAAGCCCTAAAGAAGGAACAGGCACTATTCCTACCAACTGGCTTCAACAGGAGAGTTAAAACTTGTACTTCTTTTATATATTTCATAATACTTGAGTTGAAAAAGGTTTCTAATGTCTATTTTTACAAAGTCTGAAAACTGCTGATAAAATGAAAAGAACATGGGTTTGGGAGTAAGTCACATAGGGGTTATCTGGCTAACTCTGGGATCTGGGGCACACTGACATGTGAGGATTCTGATAAGGCAGGGACAGGACCTGGTTTGTTTCTATGATATTCCTTTCCTGGGCCCTTCCTGAGTACTGGTGGGAAGGCACATAGCTTGAGGTCTGGAGACAGGCTCCCTGAGTATGAATTCCACACAAGGACTTCTTAACTGTGTCTTTGGGAAAGTTTCTAACCTCTCTGAGCCTCAGTTTCCCAAGTGATAATAATACCTACTTCAGAAAAGTTGATATACAGATTAAATGAGAAAGCCCTTATAAAAGGGCTAGGCCATGCCTGGCACATAGTATTGTTTATTCAATAAACATTAGCTAATACTAGTACTTGCACAACAAGGATTCAAGTGATGACCACTGTTCTACTCTCCTATGTCTTCTAAAGGTAGCTGTTACTTAAGGAATTCTGTCCCAAGACAGCTGACAGTGGCTCCTAATGATTAGTGGAGAGCCCTGGAAAGATGTCTACTTCTAGCTGAAAAAAAATCTGGCCCACAGACTGAGCAAAGCCTTGGCAGAGAGAGACAAGAAGCCTACGAATCCCAAAGCATTCTTCCAAGGCACAACCAGAAGCCCGGGCTGCGTCCTAGGATAAGACAGCTTTTCTTCACCACACACAGCATGCTATACACAGGGCACATGAGCCACGCAGGGACCAGCCTGCCATGAAGAACGGCAGTAGAGCAACTTTTCCATGCTAGAAGGTATTAAGATGATTCACTAGCCCATAAATAAAAAAATGCATATTCAGGTCAGACAAAGAATCCAGGAAACAGCAGTTAAATTAGTAAATTAAGTAAAAGTAAGGTGACCAATCTATCAACTAAAACTTTTTGATTATGATCGAAATTTTAAGAAATGAATGATTATTACAAAATCTATCAAAAATGTGGTCTAACTTCATCTAAAAAATTAATTCCCACGGCAAGTTTTAAAAGCTTACAATATAGCCTGCAAACATTCCAGAATGTGAAGACAAAGAAGAATTTTAATGCAACATATGCCCTGCTTTATTTTGACACTGGAAAAAATTTAAATTTGAGATATTACAAATAGTCTTATCCACCTAAGAAAATTTCTCATGTCCTTCCAAATAACATGAAGTCTTGGAGTTTGGCAAAATACAAAATGTCAGGATGCTTCATACACCTCAATTTCCTCATCAGTAAAAATAAGTAATGGTAATAAATATACACTTTTATATATGTCTCTGTGGTGCTGTGAGATTAAAAATGCAATCTGTGGGGCTAGCCAGGTATCTCAGTTGGTTACAGCATGGTGTTGATAATATCAAGGTCCAGGGTTCGATCCCTATGCCAGCCAGCCACCAAAAAAAGAAATACAAATAAAAATAAAAATGCAATCTGTGAAGCAGAAAATACTGTATGAATTTAAGAAGTTATTATTATACAGCATTTGCCATCTGTCCAACCCCTCATCTGATGTTTACCTCCCCTGTGCAAAACCGAGAGGCAGCCTCTGCTTCCCCTACATTGTCTACTGTCTTACTCTGACTCAAACTTCAAGACTGAGCATGGCACCCCCTCCGCTGAGAAGCATGATCTGACATCTCAGGTTTCCCTTCCCTGTGCTCCTGTGGCACCCTGAGCTACCTTCGGCTCTGCCTACAGGAGACTGCAAGTGTCTGTGGATAGGTCTGACCATGGCTGCAATCCTAACAGTCACACAGCTGACATCAGAGCTGGGGCCACCACTGCCAATTGCTCCACGGCAGCACGTCCAAACTCTGCATGCTTTGCCTTCATCTGCTGGGCCCTGCTTTTTCCTAGCAAAGAAAAAACTCCTGGAAATGAACATAGTTCAGGCTTCATTCAGGAACTCAAATACTGTTTTCTTAAATACCCAATGGTCTGTTTGTTTTACTATCAGGAGACCTACCTACCTGGAAACACATATAGCAGCACTCTCAAATCCTTACTGTTCTAAGTATTTTACACGATCCAAATGCTTTTCAAGGAAAACTATGAATGTGCTTTTGTTAAAAAAAGACTTGGTATGAGAAATAAAGAGAACATTTTAGGAACTGTGTGATAATACAATGCGATGATAAAGCTAATAAGCAGAATCTTAAATTCTGTTGACGCTGAGGGGTATGTATGTGGACATGTGATGAGCAAGTAGAGTGCAATGTAAAGAGCAGAATCCAGGTGGCAGGTGCATGAGTGTTCACTACAAAATTCTCCAAACTTCACCATATGTCTGAAAACTTACATAATAGAACGTTGGAAAAAATTCAGGTCATAGAAGTAACTCAGTTTCTACTACTAAACCTGGTATTGATTACTTGCATGATTTGGGCAACCTGCTCAAATTCTGTAAGCCTCTATTTACTTCCTGTAAATGGGATTATGTTTGTCTTCTTTACCTCACAGGGCTGCTAAGAGGATGAGATGAGGCAATGTAAGTGAAATCTCAGTGCTTTGTCTGCAAAAGCACACCATCCTTCTGGAGCTGGGAGCCAGGGTCTAGCCCCTTGGGGATCCCTCTGGATTCACCCTTCTGAACTCATGAAGATGTCCTTAAGTTTCCTTCTCCTCATAGTTCTCACAACTTACCATTTATTCTCTGTTTCCAGGCACACAGTCATCTTCATGTACTGATCTTCCTTTCGCTCTTCCAAAGTGGCAGACACAAGAGAAAGCTCCCCAAAGAGGGAGACCAGCCAGGTCAGGCGAGAGATGCCACTGAAGGAGGGGAAGCCAAATCGCTCTTCTTCCAATGGCCCAGCTGCAGGGAACCACAAACACTGTGGGAACTGAGAATGAGGCGCTGCCGGGTGGAGAGCAGGACCCAGGGGGTGATGTGGGAGTGAAAAGATGTGGCCCAGTGATCAGGACAACGAGACCTTGCCTTACATGGTGGGTGTGCAAGATGACGAATAATACTAATGAAAACTCAGGTGGCTAAAGTTAAACTCTTCCATAAAAGCATCTCCCTTTTTTTCTTGCTTATTAAATTCAGTTTTGTTAGTAAAATAAAACAGTCTACTAGAAACAACAGTCAATCCAGCCAAACAGGATAATAAAAAACATTTAAGGCTTCTAATATATAGATCTATGTACACATACCTAGAGATACACACACACACACACACACACACACACACACACACGAGTATACATGCATATATATCTTCTTCAATTAGTGATTTAAAGTAGTCTGGTAAAGTAGAAGAATCATGGTATTTTAGCCCCTCATGCCTGTATTCTTATAAACACCATATGTGTAAACAGCAATGGGTGAAGGCATCCAGATAGCTATGAAGAAAACAGTAATACCTTTAAGCTACTCCAAAATCAAGAAAATTGATGCAGTATTAAATGTTATATTACTGTCCCTAATCTTGGGTACAAAAAAAGTTTACTCAGGCCGGCCTGGTGGCGCACTGGAGAGTGCACCGCTTGGGAGCGCGGCGGCGCTCCCACCGAGGGTTCGGATCCCATGTGGAGACCAGTTCCCGCTCACTGGCTGAGCGCGGTGCGGGCGCAACACCGAGGGTTGCAATCCTGTTGCTGGTCCCCGGTACGGGCACGACACCGAGGGTTGCGATCCTGTTACCGGTCAGTAAAAAAGACAAAAAGGAAAAAAAAAAAAAAGTTTACTCAAAAGAGTATCTGTCTGAGAAATCTGGTTGAGAAACTGCTCCCTTCTGCCCCCAATCCAAATTTTAAACATAATCTAAATTTAAAAGATTTCTTAACTGATACATTACAATGCAAATGTTTCTTATAACTTTGATATTCACTTAATTCATAATTAACAATAAGTATGCTCTAAAAAAAACAATTTATAAATAAAAGCAAACAAAAATTATAAGTTTCATAGACAACATGGTTTGAAATCACTAGGACCTAAGTATCAAACTTACGAAAGGAAGAAGACACCCTCTGGGCTGAATACCATCTGCTCTAGCTCTTTAGACAAGAGTACTGAGCAGCCATCAAAAGTTCAAGCCACATGGTCAGAGAACTGAGCTCAGATCTGTCTCTGTCACAAGACTTGTCAACTTTGTGAAGTCACTCTCTGAGTTTCAGTTTCTTTACCCGTATAAAGGGGGTAATAAATACCCACTTTACAGGACTGTGACACGTATGAATTAACATGAGATAATGCATGTTACATACTTACCACAGTTCCTTGTATGAATTAATGACTATTATTATTTGTTGCCACAATTCTCATTACATCATCTTTTACAAGGATGAAGATGAATTTTGAAATGAGGGTCTACTGTATTTTCTGGAAACTCATGAAGAGATGCATGGTTTTACCATTCAACAATGCCAGGCCATGTCAAGGTCTCCTTTCTGTACTGAGAGCCCTCAGGAAAGTTGGCCCAGACACTCTAGGGTATAACTAGATAAGGAGTCCATCCGAAGATGACTGCCAGAGCAGGAGGCTCCAGCATGCCCATTTCTCATTGCTAATGAAGCTGCTCAAAGAATGACCATAGAGTAAATAGCCAAACATATAGTGGATCAAATGTACTTGTAGCCAATGTCCTTGTAACTTGCTGGAGGAGGAAAGGAGCTTTGCATATTCAATTCACTCTGCAAAGAGAATTATAAAAATGTCTTTTCTCCGAGCACCCATCTCCCAGTCCTTTTCAAACAGTTTTCATGTACTACCTCCAGCAGAAAAATATTATCTCTAGCTAGTTAAGATTTCATGAGAGAAAATCCTGCCTAACAGAGTGGTTCAGAAGCATAAATATGCTTGAGATTTCTAACACACTATCTATCTAAGGCCCACCAAGCAATTAAATCTCATTTGAGAAAAGAATAAAAATAGATATTTTGATTGTTCATGTAAGTATGTGGAAATTAAACTGAACTGGCCCTGACTCAGAGAGTCTTTAGCAGAAGTGAATTCAGGCTCACACCTATAGAGCTAGGAAAGACTCCACCAGCCTTCTGACCTCCCCTGTGGCCTGTGACCTGCCTAAAACTGACCTGTGAAGAGAAGTGACCCTTTCAGCAGATCTTTCCCCACCACTTCTTTTTTCAGGAACACAAATTCCTCCATCAAGAGTTCAACATGCTCCTCATGCAAGATTTTTCCTGCCATGACAAAAATAGAATAAAAACAGGTATTCATTATTAATTGTGTACAATTGCTGACCCTGGAGTCTATCTTTGTTTTCCTTCAGCACAGGACACACAGTACTCAGAACCACCCCAGGCATGCACCATGACACCCTTACTGCTGCCAGTTCTAAACTTACAACAGAAATGAAAATCTAAGAAAGCAGGATGGTATTCCCTGTCCCCATAGACAAGATAAGATCAGGGAAGTGTGTGAGTGCTGGCTTCTGTCCTAAACAGAAGGGCAATGCAGCATATAACTCTAAGAAATACGGAGCAGAAAAGAGACCACGAGGACTGAAGGAGGGGGCTAAAATTATTCTTCAATCAAAGAATTGGAAGAACCAGATAGATTGTTTGGGGAGGACAAAGTCTTAATATCCATAACTAAAATTCTGAATTATATAAAAAAAGCTGTTAAACAATGTTTGCTCTGGTGGCTTTTTCATATCTAGGCCAGAAGCGTCATAAAATATCAAAACTATTTTGTAATTAAGTACAAAGTGTGGTTTTGATCTACAGTTTCACTGAAACAGAAATCTGGGCTACGGGGAGATGCTCCTGGGACATCAGCCTTTGTTCACCCAGCTTCACGGTGAACACTGCCAAACGTTCGAGGCTTGCTCTGCACATTATGAGTGAGCAGGCATGTGGCCTGAGTTTCCAGAGTGAGATTCCTCTCACTCACTCCCTAGCACATGAATATGGCAAAGGGAGCTTCTTGCAGTAAGTGGAAGCTTCCAGCACAGAGTGGTCTGCGATAAGTAGATGCTACTCTCCTTGGAGGTAATTTCATCTACATCTCAGAAGGGATTCTGGGCATCTGGGAAGTTGGACCGTGTCTGGGAGCATGTTGTGTTCTCTCCAACACTATGTAGCAGTCTCCGTATTTCCAAATCCAGGGTTATTAAAAAAATTTTTACCTTCCAACTGCATCTTTGGTTGTTTTTCTATCTTTTACTCAATGCTCTATTGCAATAAACACATGTGGTAACCACAGTACATAGACACATGCACGCATACGTTCATATACATACATTTGTAGATCTGTTCACTGAAAGGGCATAAAAGCAGAGATACCCCAAAGTGATAAGCACACCTAGCACCCAAATCTAGGCAACCAAAATAGCTTCAGCCATTGGAGAAATGACTAATTCCAAGGCTGAGGCAGAGAAAGTACAAGATGAGCCTAAACCATTTTGTGCCAGAAAGCAAGTACTCAAAGAACAATGAAAACATAACAAAATGGCATGGGAGCCAGCATGAAGAGGTCCCCACTGACCAAATCTAGAACAACTTGAATTTCAAAATAAATAATGAAAGTAATAGATTATGTGCTGATTTTAAAAAAGCCATGAGTCCATACCAACAAAATAAATGAATAATCACAAAGTGTGATGAAAATGGATATTTTCCTAGTTTCAAACTACCACTCCAAAAAATAATCATTAATTGCAAAAGGGAAAAAAGTAACTTTCAGTGGAGAAGCTGGCAGCCACCACCTTAAACAAGTGATATCATTAGTGATGGGACGAAGTGAAAATGGCCACCACCTGATTATGCAGCATGAAAAATACAGCATTACTTCTACAATATTTCTGTGAAAGATGCATACCCCAAATCTACTCATGAAAAACATCAGATAAACTCAAATTTAGGGACATTCTACAAAATAACTATCCTATAATCTTCAAATTGTCAAAGAAAGATTGAGAAACTGTCCAGAGTGAAGAACACTACAAGCAATATGACAACTGAAGACGACGTGTGATTCTGAATGAAATCATTTTGCTATAAAGCACATTATGGAGACAACTGGTGAAATGTGAACAGAGTCTGAGGATTAGGTCATAACAATGTATCAATGTTAATTTCCAGATTTTGATGGTTAAACGTGGTTATACAGGAGAATGTTTTTACTCATAAAAATTACATATAGAAGTATTTGTGGATCACATACATTATGGAGACAACTGGTGAAATGTGAACAGAGTCTGAGGATTAGGTCATAACAATGTATGAATGTTAATTTCCAGATTTTGATGGTTAAACGTGGTTATACAGGAGAATGTTTTTACTCATAAAAATTACATATAGAAGTATTTGTGGATCACATTGGCAAGTTACTTTCAAAGGACTCAAGAAAACTAGTTCTTTGTACTGTATTTACAACTTCTCTATAAGTTTAAGGTTGTTTCAAAATAAAGTCCAAAAAAATAAACAAACAGTTATCATGACAAATATATGATAGCAAGCCAGAAACATCCGTTATGGATTATGAAACAAGAGACAACTTGTTAGGGGGAAATAAAAAGGCAACTTATAATTAATGAATTAAAATACTCAGCTCATTTGTTTTCCCCAAATATATTTTGGCAGTTTTCTGACATAAGCAGTATATGTTATAAAATTCACAAGGAAACATAATTTTACCTTTCAAATTAAGGGTTTTTTAAAATCATAAGAATAATAAATGAATATTTTTCAGTTTGGGGGGAAAACCAGAAATAAAATCAACTGTGATCCCACTTACCAGAAAAAAACCACTGCTAACATATTGGTTTATTTCCTTCCAGCTATTCTACTATAATCCTTTTTCACGGTTGTGGTCATATGACAGATACAAAATTATACTTATTTTTATTGTTTAAAGTACAATTAAATCTTCATTGACACTGTAGAACATTTAGAAAGTTTGTGGACAAGTATAAATCACCCATAATTTATAAGACATTTTTGTTATCCCAGAAATTTCCCTAGTGCCCCTCTCCTGTCAGTCTTTCCGCTCCCTTAGTGACACAGATCACCACTTAACAAATCTGTCTTTAGATCATCTCTCAGGAAGGATCTGAGACCATTCCTATATTGCTTAAACATCAATATAAACATCATATTCACATAAATGCAGGGGGGAAAATGCAAATGAAATCAAATGTTAACAGTGATTAACTGGCAGAATTAGGGGTGAAAAATACAGAAAAATACAAAAAAAAAAAAAAAAAAAAAAAAA